ATGTATTTTAAATAAACTTCTGATAACAATCATCTACTTTCATATGATTCTCACAGATACTGATTATATCTGATAAAACTAGGTGATTATCTTGAGAATTTTGATCTATTCTGAACATAATAAAATTATGTTCAACATGTGCTGGCTTTCTGTTTTATACATTATGCTTATGATGTTAACTGAACACAATCTGATATATTTCAGTGATGTCTAATGAAATCAATACCACATTGTTCTGATAAAAATGTTGTATGACAGTCTCTTGATGAGTTGATTTATGATTCAAACAGTAAGATATCTGAGTGGACAGTTCATAAAAACACATTATGAATTCTAGCTGAACTTAATGATAAATTTACCAAAATGAATTATCTCACATTTAAAAATCTTCAGAGAAATATCAATACTTATTAAGAGTAATCATTATTGACTGAATCTTATTAATATTAACATGTCAATCATCTCTGCTGTTGAAGAGTATATTTATATTTCAAGACATATTCCATCAGACACACTGCTGATATCATTCAGATGCTATTAATTGAATGTTGATGACATTCAACAGTTAATAACATTTAAAGAGACTGATATTCAATCTGAATATAAAGATCAGAATGCTGAGCAACAAGCTTATGAAAACAATGTTAATGATAGAAACTAGTCACTATTAATATAAATCATTACAAATCATATGAATATTAACTGTCAATAGTCAATCAAAGACATGCAGTTCATCAACAAATCAATTCTACAACATCAACACAGAGCAACATGAACTCATTGATAATTACTAATAGATCTAGCTCTAGAAGAGATCAAAAGCAATGAACAGATACTACAACTACTAATTCATCAGTTTGAAGAATAAATAGAAGATTAAGATTTGATCAATTTTCATTATCTGACTACTTAAGTAATAACTCTCTTTATTCAATTTCTACTGATAGTTACTGATGATTTGCTGACAATATCAAGAAGCTTTAAGTGTTTTTATGTTCAGTTCAGTTGACTTAATTTAAGAAAATGATGATACAATTTAAAATATATCAAATACTACTAGTGATGGCTTCTTAAGAGATATTGAAAATCTTAATGAGTTTCAAATTACTTATAGAAATTTAGAATTGAGAAAAAGAGCTTTGACTCTAGAGCAGAAGAAATTATCATTGAGAGAGAGAAAACTGACAGCTAAAAGATATTTACTGAATAATACTAATAATGCTCAGTAGAAGATAATATTTCATAAAAGAGAGTGTAGTGAAGATATATTATTTGCTCAAGAAATATTACACAATAAGAGATAATATTATCAATTTGAATCTCATTAACATAAAAATTAGTAACTATTAGTAAAAAGCAAAAGTCTTCATTTCTCTTCATAAAAACAAAGTCTTTAATTCAATGATTATCAGTAAAAATCAAGTAAAATCAATTCTTTATATTAAATTGTTCAAGACACAATATTCAGTAATCTTCAATAAGAAAAAAAGTTAGTGTTAATTGTGAGAGATAGTTGAGGTGCAGAGATGAAATTTTCCATATTGTTAGTCAGTAACTGATAAGATTTAGTAGAGTAGAGTAGATAAAGATCTATCAGCAATTTTCATTTATAGATGAGTAAGTTAAAAGAGATCTTTTCATGCAGCTCTAACAGTAATTGATTGTTTCACAAGTATCAGTAAAAAGCAGTATCATCAGTAACAAAATGTCACTTACTGTTTATGACTCTTTGAAGTTGTGGGAGACTGAAGAAGAAATTGAGATTTGCTGTTAAACACTATCAGTTTCATCAGCTGAAGTGACTGAACAGTGTTTATCAGTTGTAATTAGTAACTTCAGACTTTAGTAACATTCAGTAACACACAGTTAGATTCACACAGTGTTTTGATCATTATTATGACTGTCATTACAGCTGTCATGAGCATGATCTTCACATTCACACTCACATTTATGCACAGATTCTGAAGTTGAAGCAGCAGAAAGTTCATTCTTCTTCTCTTCTTCTTCATCACTCTTCTTCTTCTCTTTGTCTTCAAATTCTTCTGAATGAAAATGGATATCTTCACTATTATTAGTAAGTATCAGATGAAGTCAATAGACTGTATGACTGTCACTTACAAATCTTCATTTTCACTATATTGAGTTGATTGATAAGTCAGAACATTGAAGTTACTACTAATTGTGACCACTTACTACTAATATCATTCATAGATATCAGACATAATATAAAAATTGTGGAAATGAGTATTCTTCTTATGGTTCCACATATTATTAGTTAGAATCAGTTGTGGTTATTTAACAATTTTTGACTTACAATATGTGACTTTTAAATATGCTTCTGAATCATCACACTCTGACTTATTTTGAATGATCTATTGTAACTGATCAGTACTGATAGTAACTCACTATTATTGTTGTGATCATGAATAGACTGACTGTTGAAATCTCTTTGAAATCTCAATGAAATAAGACTGAATGTCAATCTCAATTGAGTTGATCTCAATCTCTTTTCAAAATTTAAAAGTTAGTTTCAATTTCATTTCAAAATATGAATAAAAGTTCCATTCTCTTCTCAGTTTTAAATTTTATATTTTAACTTCCATTTCTAGATTTCTCTATCTCTAAAACAACTTTAATTTTTTTCAAACTTTATTTTGAAAATGTATTTTTACATCAAAATATGACAAAATAGAAAAATTGACACATCAAATCAAAATGCATATATACATTTGTATATGATTTTGATACTAAAAATAGTATAAAATAAGATTTTATTTTAAGTTTAGGAAAATTGAGAATCTCTGTTTCTAATTAAATAATCTTAATCTCTTTAAATTAAGTCTTTTTTTCATTTCAGTACTTGAAACTCAAGTCTCAGTTTCATCTCAGTTTGAATCATTAAGTTTCAGTTCCATCTCAATTTTCCATTAGTGCATTAGAGATGGGATTTCAGTTGGGAAATTTCTGTTTCTGCAGTTAGTCTAGAACTCATAAACATTTCATATGTGCAAAAAAGACATTAGTAAGCACATGTCATAATCTTCTGATAAAACTATTAGTGATTAGTGAAAAGTGAAAACTTCTCTACTTACAATAATACTCTTGACTCAAAAACATTAAGCTTTGTACACTTTACAGTTGCAGAGCTTTTTAATTCTATCACATATTACTGATTAGTACTAATCTATCAGTAACTATAAGTAGCAACTTAAAGAAACTATTATCTATAAATCAGCAAGCTTCTTTCTCTTCTTTAACTAAGATGACATCATGCAGTCAGCTTTTTTAAGTTCTTTTGTAAGCACAGCAATTGCTGCTAAAGCTGTCAGATTGCTTAGATCAGTTAACACTGTAAGAGTAGCTGCATGTTGAGAGACAACAGTAGAAGTAGAAGTAAAAACTGTAAGAATATTTTTAATTTCTTCTGATTATAATTGATTAGAAGCAGAATTTTGTTCTGCTGATGCTGTTATAATTAACTATTCAGTAATAATCAGTAGTGAATAATTAAATTGATTAAAATGTTAATAGTGAATTAATAGAAGAATAGAAAGAATAGATGCTGATCTATTATCAAAAATAACTGAATAGTTACTAGTTTCTAGATAAAGAGTCAAACAAAAAGTAAGATTTAAGACTAAATCTTAGACTGAACTTCTAAAGCTAAGATTTCTGTTCATCTCTGCATAAAGAACTTAATTTTATGCACATAGTGAGAGACTAATAAAATCACTTTCAAGCTTAAAATAAACACATTTAAAAGTTTGAAAAAGCATGCAGTTTAATATGAAAAAATCTGCTTATCTTCATGATGTTGCAGTTGTAAAGAAGAAGAAGAGAGCAAGATTTAGTAAAGTGAAAAATATTATTAGTGTGAAGAGAGAGAATGTATGCACAAAATTAAGCTAGACTATATTGAAAATAGTGTACACAATGTATTTTCTTACATAAGCAAAGTGAGATGAACTTCATATATTATATTCATTATATAAACTAAATCATGCAGACTTAATGAAATCTTTCACTAAGTTCTCTCTTATCAATAGTAATCAGATAGTAGAAAAGTACAGTTATTTATCATCTTATAATAATACTGAGTATCTTTATAAGTGACTGTTTTATTATAGTTACTACATTCTGAGTTCTTTTGAAATCTTCTGATACTTTTAGTAATATTCAGTAACTTAATCTGATTATATAAGATCAAGATCTGTTGAGCCACTTCACAACATCTGAGAACAGTTCAACACACATCATATCAATTGTGCACTGGTAACATCTGTGTTTGGAACCAGTAATTATCAGTTAAGACATCTGGTGACCACACACCTGGGCACTTGGGGACCCTAGAATTTGTTTGAGCTTTCATACATATTACACCCCTAAAAACGGGTCCATACCAAATCCTAAATATGTTTTGTATTTAACCTAACCGAACTCTTTTCGATACCTCCTGTAAAGACCCCTAAAAATTTCAACGATACATACATTCATCGGTGTACTTTACAGAATATCAGCGGGGGATGATTCGAAGTGTCAAGAACAAAGATTGTATCCGGGTATACACTAAACGAAGTGGTACAAAGATGTAAAACTGCCCAACAAAAATGAAAAATAAAACCAAAAACAAAAAAACAAAGAGAGGAATAGAGCTTGAGGAACCGAGTAGAGGAAGCATATGGTCTTTGGTTTAAAAAGAATAAATGTATAAGGGATAATGAAAACATGTTATTTTCCTTGCATAGACTTAGCAGAATCATGGAGGGGCATCAAAATCGGATTAAATAGATAATGTGACATGACTTCATATTAATAATTCAAACCCAAGTATTTTGGGAAAGCTTGCCGATTAGGAAGGGCCTGTGAATAAGTAGTCGATCCGGAGTATTATTGTCTCACTTAACGGAAAGATTGACACTCGGCTTAGCGGTCTTTATTTTCGCGAGGAGTGTCAGCCGCCAGGGCGCCTTAAATGAATCCGACTGACAGAGGCGGGGGCCTTATTTTTTAATAACACGTATTGGTTTTCCCCTGCCGGTCATCCACATTGCGAACCCCTTTGGAATGGGTGCCGGTCGACCTTTCCTAGAGCCGGTAGAGGGAGGCGGTAGTTCGCCAATATCCTCAGGGACTAAAGTGAACGGCTCGTCAGCTTCAAAAAAGTCAGAATCTTCTACTTGGAAGCTGGTCGGCAAGTCAATTTCTCTCGCCAGGGGCGAAGAACAACTGACGTAGAATGGGGAAGGAGAGTGACTTACGTGGTTCTATAATCGGGACTTCGACGAGGGGAATAGGAGGCGCTTCCTCTGCCGGTGGAGGTGGTGGCGGAGGGACTTCTGGTTCCTGGGGCTTTTCGGGGATAGGCCACATGTGCATGGTTATGGACCAGTCCGGTTCGACGACAGTTTCCCATACTTGCGGGAGAATTATATCTCCGTTAGGTCCAATAAGATCATAATGACCATCCGCAACATGCTGGCCCAGTACATCAATGTGAAGGAAAGCCTGACGAATCAGTTCTTCCATACCCTGAAAATAAAAGACGTTAGATCCTTAAAGCGGCTAAGGGAGCCACGGTTTGCGCTCACCTGCCAAGTATTGCACAAGTGGAAAGGGAAGCTGAATTTTCTTCCTACAGCATCCTTGAATTTCAAAGGCTTTTTCTTTTCAGGGGGTGGTTTGGCAGCGGCAGCAGCTGTAGCAGCAGCAACAGCTTCGGCAGTTCTGGCGTTGGCAGCCTCCGTGGCGGCAGCCGTGGCTTCTGCTACAGCGGCAGCCGTGGCTTCCTCAGCGGCTTTCTTAGCCAAAGCAGCGTCCGCCGCTGCCGCCGCTTCTGCCTCAGCCTTAACCCTTTCAGCTTCTGCCTTTGCCTCGGCTTTCAAGACTTCAGCTTCTGCCTGAGCTTCCGCTTTTGCGAGAGCAGTTGCATTTGCGGCAGCCTCATCTGCGATTTTCTTCTCGATGGCGGCTCGCTCTTCAGCTGCGGCCTTGTCACGAGCAGCTTTCTCAAAAGCAGCTTCTCGAGCTGCCTCTCTAGCTTCACGCTCCATCCTTTCATCAATAATGAGCTTCTCGAGACGTGCGATCGCTTCGTCTTTCGGGTCGGGCTGAGGTGGTTCTGGTGGAGGTGGGGGCGGCGGCGGAGGAGGGGGAGTACTCTCCTTCTCTGGGGCAGTCGGCGGCTTTTCCGGTGGAGAAGGTATAGGGGCGTAAGGGTGGAAAAAGTGAGGTGACATCATGCCTTGGGGTATCCCATATGGGAGCTGACTATAGTGGTGAAAGTACCCCGGCTGGGAATTGAATGGCACCATATCGGAAGACATGAATGGGGCACCTGGAAATTGGGGGTGAATGCGAGCGGGAATGGGATGTGCAAGCGTCGGCGGAGGGCTGTCGTCCTCCATCCGACCCCCTGAACGACTCTGAGGTCGATGATGATGATGGTGAGGTGACGGTGGAGAATGATGTTCATTATTTCCAAAGTAGCCAGTAGTGGGTGGGTACGCCGGAGAGAATGGAAACGCACCGCTAGGGCCGTATTGATTTATATGGTTCGGCGGTGGACCTATATGTCCCATGGGTCCCACATGTCGTACAGGTCCCATAGATCCCAAGGATGGTATGTGTCCCATTGGGCCAAGCTGAACTAACTGGTTGGATGGCATCCCCGGGTGGCCGTGCAAGTGCGGCGGAGGAAAGGCACCGAATGATGGACCCGAAGAATTACTTGGGGGGTATCCTGGGGGCGGAACGGGTGCCATTGGTGGCCAGAATCGTGGATCATGAGGCGGTAGGGGATAGTCATATTCCTCCGAGGATTCTTCTGTTTCTGGCTCAGGCGGAGGCGGCGGCGGCGGCTGCTGGGGCGCGTGATGTCTGCGAGGTCGATGCGAAAGCGGCTCCCGTTCTTGAGCGGCTCGTCGCCGGTTCGTCTGGTGGCGCGAGGGCCTGGGACGGCCAGGGTCAACGTTGGCATGACTGAAATGGGAGGTGCGGGGTCTTGAGGCAGAGTCAGACGGCTTTAGCTCATCGGAAGAGGAGAGGTGATCCCATGGGCCACCGACATCATAAGAGTCATGGTAATCGGGGCTTCCCGTAACCGAGGGCGGGGAAACTTCCACTCCTGTGCCTGAGGAATCTTCCCCGTCGCTGAGGGAAGAATGACCCGAGCTATGAGGGGACGCGTGATCAATGGTGATATTAAGCCTGTTTCTGAATCACAATGACCGGTCAGAGTCCCTCATGGCGATTGCCAAGGTCTCCATGTTGGGTGGCTTTGGGATACGGGGACAAAAAGACTCACGGCATCAGAGAATTATCCGTCCCCAAGGAATTATCTGCCAAATCTTTTCAAAGGAAAAGACCTGGAAGATAACCTCAAACGATGATGGGCAGAAAGCTGAATCTATGCGGTTCGGCCGATTATATCTTCCAGGTGTGATGGGGCACAGAGTCAAGAAAACAGGTTTTGGTTGGGTGCTCGGCGGCATTCAAGGCTCGAGTGTGTGATGGATGGAGAGAAGCCTCCAGAGTCTGGATGCGGCCGGTCAAAGGGAACTAGAATAGGTTGGAAGGTTGGGCTCGATATCTTCTGTTGAATAGAACGACAGGACATTATCAGTGGCATATTCGTACAGAGCAGCAAGAGAAGTAGTTCAGGGGATGGAAGGGGGAGAACAAAAAAAAGAGGAAAAGAGGGAGTTTAAATCAGAACTGGAGAGAATAAAATTAGTTTAGGCGGCAGCCGTCAAAGAAGAAAAAAGGAAATGCAGGATTGCTGCCCAATGGGTTTCGTGGCAATAAGTGAGCGAGATCGCAGCACAGGCAGGTTGCACTGAGCGGGAGACGCACCGAAAGGGCCACGGGCGACGACGCAATCGACAGCCGGGAAGAGTCGGTGAGCGCGGCCAGACTCGCGGGCGAGGGTAAGGCTGAGCAGAAGCGAGAAGACACAGAAAGGGACGGCCGGGGCGGCGTTGCTTCTTACCTTACCCAGGTTGCGCTGGTGGGCATGGTATGGCACAGCGGCGGTGAGGCCGCAGCAGGCCAGGACAGTTAACTCGTTCCCCAGTTGCGGGCGTCGAGTGTGCGAGTCGCGTTGGGTTGGGAGCGAAGTCTGGCGAGAGAGTTACATGTTAATTACCTAGTTAGTCAACTTCCTACCTAATCATGTACTACTCCGTACTTTAGTGAACTACATACTGACGTCGCTCGGCGATGATTGGAGGCGCAGGAGGCCAATCACCTGCCGCCCGTTCCACTCCAAGCGCCCTGCCAGACCGACTGAGGCACGAGCGGCGTGACGCGTGTGGTGAGATGGTGGAGACAACGGAGAATAACTGCTGGCTTCGTATCTCGCGCCGCCCGTCATAAGATCCTCTGGCTATTTCTTCAGCCTTCCGTGCCTGGAGCAGCACGGCGGATCCGGCCGCCCGCCCGCGCCGGTCTCCAGGGTTCAGTTGCTCATCGCTCAACTAGTTAAGTTAACTAACTTAACTAACTACCTAGTTAGTTAGCCTGACCAAGACTTTGCTTCCCCTAACTTAGTTGCGCCCAACGCGCGTTTCCTTGAATGCGCCCGACAGCTTCGCTTGTTCTCCCAGGCCACACGCCCACCCTCCACCATGGCCTCTCCGCGCCCGACCACCCATCCGCCCTCAAGTGCGCTCCCGCCGCTGCCCATCCCCAAAGCAAAAAGGAGCCCCTTGGCGCCCCCCGACGCTCCACGCCCCATGACGCCCGGGTCCAAACTTCGTGCTCCCTCATCGTCCCTGAAAACCGTTGCCGCCTCTGTCACACCTGCCCGCTCGCCGTCCATGGGCCATGCCCCCAACAATAGCCCTGAGAAAGTCCTTCGCCGCTCAGTGAGCGTTGCCGTGTTTCCGCAGCCCCCCAAGGCTGCTTTCCGCGCCTCCCTCAACGCCAGCACTACCTCTCTCTCGAGCCTGCCCGCCGTCAGGGCTAAGTCTCCCGCCGCCATGACCGCCTCGGGGAGCCTGAGATTGAAGAAACCTCCTAGAATTAGCACCGGTGCTGTGAATAGCAACCGAACCTCTAAGACTCCCACCCTGCTAGATGCGAGTGGAAATGGAAATTCGATTCCATGCACCCCTGCCTCCCGAAATCCCGAGACACAATGCTCCAGCTCTTCTCCCACGCCAAGCAGAAGCTCCTCAGCACAAGGCTCGACATATTCTACAAGTGCCACGACTTTTGATGAGGGCGATGACAGTGGCCGGAAGACAAGGGACGATCCGGATACCTCCGGTACCGCGATCAAGCACAATTTGAAATCAAAAGAAGGAAAAGGGAATGTCATAGTAAGCGTCAGAGTGCGACCCGACTTCGCAAACAGCGATGGTAGTAAGTCGGACGGCGAGTGGCTAGTTGATGGTCGAAGAGCTTTAGTATCGTATCATGGGAAAGACGGAGGTGATTACTTCTACGGTAAGGGTTATATTCAACTCCGTCGGGATGTAATTTTCAATTCCCGCTAATATATCGATTGAAAAAAATCCTAGATAATGTTTTTGCTGTCCATGATAACAATGCTAAGGTTTACGACTCATGCGCAAAGCGACTCGTACGTCGAGTAATGGAAGGTTATCATGGAACTGTTTTTGCATATGGCATGACTGGTACTGGCAAGACCTTTTCCATGCAAGGGACTGCGACATCTCCCGGCGTTATACCGTTGGCCATCACAGATATTTTTTCTTATATCCGTGAGACCCCGCATCGCGAATTCCTCCTGCGAGTAAGCTATCTTGAGATATACAATGAGAAGATACATGATCTTTTGTCCACTCCTGTGTCTGCAGGCGTTGGACCCGGTGGAGTACAGCAGGAAGAAATTAAGCTGCGGGAAGACAGCAAGCGGGGCGTTTATGCAACGCCGTTAAAAGAGGAGATCGTTCAAAGTCCAACTCAACTAATGCGTGTGATCGCAAGAGGAGATCATGCCAGGCGGACAGGGAGTACCCAGTTCAATGCCCGGAGTTCTCGAAGTCACGCTGTGGTTCAGATCGTTGTCGAGAGCCGAGAGCGAGTGTCTGCATCCTGCTCAAATCATGAAAAGCGCTCAGCTATAATTCCTGGCGGTGTACGTGTCTCAACTCTTAGCTTGATTGACCTTGCGGGCTCTGAGCGCGCGGCTGAAAACAAAGAGAGACGTACAGAAGGTGCTCACATCAACAAGAGTCTGCTCACTCTTGGTAATGTTATTGCGAGGTTGTCGGTGGATAAAGACAAGGGAACAAATGCATCAGATCGTGACGGCAAACATCTTCCGTATCGGGACAGCAAGCTCACAAGGCTACTGCAGCCAGCACTATCAGGCAACTCGTTAGTCAGTATTCTCTGCACAATCCAAATAGGGTCGGCTGGCAGTGCTGCCGGTACTAATACACATGCAAACGAAACTCTAAATACCATGAAATTTGCTGCTAGGGCAAAGAACAATATCGTCAGCCATGCAAAAAGAGCAGAAGAGGCCTTGGGTGGTGGCGGTGATGCAAGTAGTCGTGTTCTTCTCGAACGATATCGTGTAGAAATCCAGTCACTCAGAACACAGCTCGAAAAGCAGGCGAAAACCCATGCTGAGCAAGAATCGAAGCTGGAAGAGAAACGCTTTGAGAAGGAAGCAGAAGCGCGTCACGAAGAGCAGATGCTGGAGATGCAGTTGGCAAGAACTGCCTTGAAGGAACGCATCGAGCATTTAAATCGTTTGATTTTGTGTTCGCAATCTACTGGAGTCAATGCTAGCGGTCGACTTTCCACGATGGGTTTCCCGTATTTACGGAACTTTGATTCTAGGTCTCTCCGATCATCAGCCTCGTTTTCTACATTAGGTGGTGGGCAACTGAACCGCTCCTGTTCTTTGACGTCTGTCAAGAGTAGCAGCGGAGTGCCTTCTGAGCAATTCTCACCATTCGGAACTAACGAAGATGACGAAGATACTATAGGTGATTTTGCAGATGGTACTGCAAGCGTTCAAGCACAGATTATTGCACTTCAAGCAGACCTCGCGGATAAGAACCGCTATATCTCAACATTGGAACGAAGACTACTGCAAGCGCGGCGTTCTAGTCACTCACGAATGTCCGCGGGCCTGTCTCAGCTAAAAACTAGCACTATCTCCCCTGGCGACCCTGAAGTTGCTGCGCTGCTTCGTGAGAAGGATATGGAGATAGCAGACCTACGTCTCCAGCTAGATGATAAGGATCGGATGGTCGCCGCCCTTCGTTCAGCGGCACGTCAACGTGAAATAGCTCAGCTGGCGGCTGAATCACTTCCCCCTGACCCTCCAAAGCCGCCTAACTTTCCACTACCCTGCCATCGATCTAGCCACCAGAGTTCTGAGAGTAATGGCAGCTTGGTCTTGATGCCTTCAACGCCTATCAGCCCCATTCAGTTTTTGTCCCCTACCAAGAAAACAGACAGGGACGCAAAACGCAGAAGCGTAGATGAAATGTCGCGGATGCTTGATGAAATGATCCAAGATCGAGTGGAGAGCGGGCAGTTGATCAAGGGTGTCCGGGGAAGTGTCCGACTTGCAAGTGGCCATCCTCCTACAAGTTCGCTGCCATCACGTGGTGAAGCTGTGCCTCCTCCCCTAGGGCATACAGCGGATGATACCCCTCCGCCTTGAACCAGGATGTTATTTCACATCGAATTTAACGAAAAGTCTCCTTTTTTTGTCTCCTTAATGCTGCTTACTGATGTGGACAAGCGAACTACTTCGACAGCTTTCTGGTTACGACCTATTGAATGTGATACCCTTGGATATGTTGGCGTAAATCAACTTGGATTTCTTTCCCCTTTTTTTAAAGTTCTCTCAGAATTGTCCGTGTGAATGGATTCATTTTGGCGTACGACTTCTTATTTCTTAATTTTTTTTAACATGTACGGAGTACCCCTAGTAATTGCTATATAATGATCGCCTTCTTATGACTCTGTATACTCTGTAGTAGAATACTGTTAGTTGCAAATACTCGACATACTGGTGATGTTGGGTATTTGAGTAAATAGGGCTGTGGCCGACGTCACCTTTATCGCAGGCACAATCGATTATGCCATATGGTTGACACCGACTGCATTGAAGATGTTTCAAGTTTGGTATGAAATGGTCTTCTGCGGAGCTAGGGTGAGAAACAAAGACTCCCAACATGAAACACTGGCGCTTCATACAGTGGGGCTTCGGGGGAGATCATTCAGGCGGTAACTCGATGTCGCCTAGCACAACCCTCAGGTGCCCGCAAAAGGTAGTGTCAAACCTGGCATGGCTCCATTTCCCAAGAAATCGATGTTCAGGTCAGAATGAATCACAGCGGCGAAACCAGGAATTCCATGAGATAGTGATACGGCGGTCGTCGCAATATTTATGGGGTCCGAAACGCCCCTTGCTCCCCCTGAACGAGCCAGGATGATTAGCATAAACGACGAACAGGGGCGTTCGAAGGGCACACCGGTGGCTAGAGACTCTGTAGTAATAATAGTTTGTTGGTTAACTACCTATGTTAACTCACCAACTAACTAACTAACTAGGCGTGGGGCCTGCATGGATGGAGTTGGGCTCCAGCGGCGGAAACGCAGAATAGCCACAACAGAAAGTCGCTTGGAATCCCACGAATAAGATGGGGCTATGGGCGTTACGACGTTGATGCTTTTTTTATTATTTTATCATTATTCCGTTCTCTGCGAACCCTTGTTTTCCTTGGGCGCCTGGTGGAAGACGAGGATTCGCTGCTCCAGGACGCCTTGTTTGAAACCCAAATGAAACGGATCCAGCCAGCAAGCAGAGGCGTGGTTGGCAAAAGCCAAACCCGCACGCCACCGAATCACAGCACTGCCGGTGGATTTTGCTCAGCAACCTTTTGTTGCTTTTTTTTTCACCCTGCCTTTTTGTTCCTCCGCCATGTTGAGGTGCATTGGAGGGATGGCGATGGACTGGCCCTCTTCTTAACCCAACCCCCGTCCTTGACTCCTCCATAATTTCGTTCTGTGCCTTAGCCGCGGCCGCCTTGTCTTCCAATCGGCGCATGACTGGTGGCATGCTGTCGTCTTCCTTCGGAGCTGCTTCTCTGTTCTCGACCTGTGCTGACGACGTTCCCTCTGGGTGTCGATCGCAGCAGAACCACCCTCCCGCGCCCCCACCCCTTTCACGAACCGGGCCGTGGGCATGCTGGCATGAACAAAAAAGACCCGGGAAAGTCGCGTGGAAAAAGATACATGGTTATTCGACGTCAAAGCTCTGCCCACGGAGTACTGGGATAGGCCTTGAGTGATTTCCATCCTTTCTCTTCTTCCCTGCGGCGTTCTTTCACCCACATCATCGTTTATTATTATTATTTACTCGCCGATCCCCCTCTCTCTACTCCGTACTCTGTATTATTATTGTTGTTGCTGCTGATTGCGTACCGGGACCTGACCGTCACCTTGTCTTTCTATTCGTTGCTGGTTTACGTGGGTCTGGATGGCTGCGTAGAAGTTCTCGCACTAGACGGCTGAATCTGGCATCTCTTCCGTCCTGTTCGTTTCTGATATTTTTTATGCCTGGTCATATCACTACCTGATCCTTGCGGTCGATGAGTGACAACCTAAGAAGGCGGGGCTTCCCTTGATTGATATCCTTCTAGATCTTAGGAATTCTGCACTTACTTTCTCAGCAGCCACCATTATCTTACTCGATCCTTTTTTTACGGTTCACTCTCTCCATTCTATGTTGCTTTTGAAAAGCATATTGACTAGAGTTGAACTGCTTTGTTTCGCCGCTTAACGCGAAGCTTGACTTCGATTTCATTTCACGCCTTATTCTGCAGCTTCCCAGCGTCGGAGGGTCACTCTATTCTACAAAGGAAGCCGGTCTGGTTTTTAGCGTACGTGTACATTCCATACATGCAAAACTCGAGAATTCCCTCTGTTCACAAAATTGATGCCTTGCAGGTTCTCAACCCTGGTGAAGCTACGGAACACACCGTTCTCTATATCAGCCGTTAAATCCAAGGTCCGATGGTCTATACTACTTTGCAAATATGATTATCTCTTCGCGGCGTGACCCTTATAAAATGGGTGCCCGCCGGGCTCCAACTCCCAGCAATATTCGAGTAGCGCCGCCGCCGTCAAAACAAAGCTTGCGGATCCCCTTTATCGATTCTCCGCTCCCGTCTCCTAGTCTTCCATCCTTCTTTCCCCGTCGTCCGACTAAGCCTTCTCGCTCGCGTATTCAAAAGAGTTGGAGAGTATTTGGCGTACTAGCGGGTTGCTGTATTGCTATAACTTGGCTGCTGTACCCCTTTTGGCGTATTGGACGCTCATTCAATCCTGCGCAACCTTTGTCAAACCGTGATGCCTACGAAATTGTGGGGAGTAACGTTTTACCTGACATGCCTGGACCAGTCATGGTCATGGATAAGAAAAACCACGCTCGATGGACAATCTACATGCCCATGCAAAATTCTTTACAAACATCCCCTTCTGATTATGCAAGAATATGTATGGAGACCGAAGAACTGGCGCATCATGTTGCCCAGACCAGAAACCCAAACTCGGAAAGCATAATCAGCCAGCGCGGAGGGTTCTACAATTGGGACAGAAACTTCATTGATGTAGCAGATGCCCAGGATCAAGACCTACTTCCCCGAGCCCCCAACTTCCAACATAATCCTTACCAAGCGGTTGGATGGGAGCAAAACGAAAGCAAGGCAGATTTGCCCTTGTGCAAGAAATCTTTAACATTCGTTCTGCAGTCGGATAATGCCGGGCTAGGCGCAACATTGATGGGCTTATGGATGAGCTACGGGTTTGCTAAGGAAGAGGGAAGAGCTTTTTTTATTGACGATTCGAATTGGGGTTATGGTCGGTACACCTCGTATTTCAGACCTCCCCCGGTTCCGGCATGTCGACCTCCCCCTACCTCACAGCGAATACCATGCCCCATGCAAGCACGCCATCTCCTAGTATCTCCATCTACCACTCGTTGGGTGTTTGACAGTAATTTCAGTGAAAAATTTGAAAATCGGCATCAGCTGGGAGTGGATAAACAAAGACCAATTTTTGAATTTCTACGGACAGGATATGAGGCCCTATTTCGATTAAACGACCAGGACCAAGGACACTACGATAGGCGAGTCAAACAACTGAATACTATCGAGAACAAACCGCAGGTTGGTATTCATGTCCGCCGTGGTGACTGTCACCCGTTAGAGCTTCAATACGAAAACTCGTATATTCCTCTAGCGGTATACACGCAACAAGCGGAAGAACTCGTAAAGACTCTCACTGGCTCTAACCTACCTTCTTCAGAGAGTGGTACAACAATCGTGGCATCTGATGATCCCGACATCTATTCAGCCCCGGAAGTGATACATGCTCAAAAAGCACAGTCCTCTATTTCCCTTGTCAGTAAATCCACACTCAAAGCCGGCGGGACAGGTCAGGGATCTAGTTTGGATTCAAATAGTGGATGGGAAGGTGGCTTTTTCAACAGTCTCTTCTGGTCTTTAGGCTCTCCATTGTCCCGACCAGTGGCGGAGTACAGCCCACCACCGTCGAGGTATCCCGCTTCAGCTTCGTCACCCGACATTGATGTGCAATCCCAATTGGCAGACCAGACGAAGCTATCACCCGCAAATCAAGAATTCCGATTCCAACCTCCTCAAAACGCTTTGCGGTTGCGTGAGTTTGTTGCTCGCGCCTACCTACTTGACCTAGCTATACTCGGTTCGTCTGACGCTGTGGTTTGCGGCGTGAGTAGTTCCTCGTGCCGATTACTTGCTGTAATGCTAGGCTGGGAGAAAGCCATAAAACAAAAACAATGGAAAAATATTGATGGTTCGTTACAATGGGAAGCCTTTATATGGTGAAAGACTACTCCGTACAAGTGTACTACAGTCATGATATTTTAAAACTCCACTAGCCATGTTACTGGATAGGTAGAACAATCAAAATGACAACATAGTCGTGAAAATTTATGAGAATAAGCAATGGCACATGGTATAGAAACAAATGGCCCTGGCATTTCTCTCAATACCTCATTTTAATATGAATAAAACGGGCCAGTTAAAATGGGTTCAGTATATCTCCTTGTACATCGGTGCAGCGCATAAAGGATTAATTAATTTCTAATTCTGATTCCCTCTCGGTAGCAAAGGTATCCTTCCATTCATCCCATAAGCTTTGTAGTCCGGTAACATACTTCGCGTGCAAGTCATCTACATATGCGTCTTCAATTTTGTCGCGGTTGATTTGCTGTACAACCGGAATTGGTCTCCCAACAACAATGTTCAAAGGCCTTCGATATGGCATCAAGCCCACATCGTAATTGAACACACCTCTCGCGTGAAAAAGAGGAATCGTGAATCCCATGGTTCGCTTGACCAGCAATTGAACCTTATGAATAATGGGGTGCTGATCCGACGCAACTTGTTTATATAGTTCATTTTCACCAAATGCTAGAACGGGTACGAGGTCTGCACCGGTACGGATGGCGAGCTTGATAAATCCCTTTCGCCTTTTGAGAATGAGACGGACTTTGTGAGGTTGGGCGTCGAGGGACTCGCGCGCCCCTCCTACAACAATAGTGATCGCCCGGCCCATACCCTCGTTGTCTTGGCCCCCCTTAGAGAGTAGGTTTTCACACGACTCGCGGGAGACACTTGCGAGGCCCATCGCGAGAGCGTAGTCACGGTAAAATGGGAGCCGGAAGTTGGAATCTAAGGTAAGTAGTGTATTTGTGATGCCGGGGAAGAGTTTGGAGAAGCCTAGTGCTTCGGTTGCGAAGGCGGCAAACGCGCCATGGGATATGATTCCATGAGGATGGTACCCAAAGATATATTTCCTCGTTGGAGGAAGGACTTCAGACCGGTGAAGTCTCGCGGGGAAGTAGCCAGCAAAATAAGTCCAAATTCTCAGAGATCGCAGAAACTGGCTACGTCCCCTCAACATACCGTCCGTAGCAGCCTTAGAAAATAGGGATATATAAACAAGGTATGGAAGTAAAAATGGCCAGAATAATGGTATTGCACAAGAAAAGAAAAAGCTGGTGACAAATATGGCTATTGAAACTGTGTGATAAAGCACTACTAATGTTTGCAGGCGTCGCTTCGGGCTGATATTCAGTGGAGCCCAATGTATCCTAAAAGCACTGTGTTTAACTCTGTCTCTGCAGATACAAAATAGAAGAGACATACCCCAGGCCCTCTGTACCGCGAGGTCTATTGGGACGTCTGCCAGCAGCGCTCCTATTTTCCAGGTTTGATGGCTGATTAAGTGGATACCTCCGTTTTACTTCATTATGTCCTTTTATTGATTCTGTTCCCCCGTCTTGCCATGTCTCCTCGGTATTTATAGAGCATGCTCCCGAAAGGTCACTGACGCGACCATCGCGGCTGTTGGCTCGTAGCCCTTCAGCAGAGGCAAATGCAAGTCTATCCTCAATTGCAGAACGATATTCGTCTCCAAGTCCATCCATAGCCAAAGCAACTCCGTCGATATCCGGCATGGGTTCCTCGATATAACTTCTTCCGCCCGTCTTGTGTTATTTATGTTGAGGTTAGGAGTCAAGGATAGAACAAAGGAATGACGGCGGGAAGTTTGTGAGTCGGGATGGCTGGTTACCCTAAGCCGGAATCTAGATGTAGACTAGGTAGTTATATTTGTGCAAGGAAAAGAACATCTATAATAGAGAACTTAGTCCTACAATGTTAATCCTTTCAGGTTGAACGGAAGATGACGTCACTATCTAACTATTAACATAATTCCTCACTGAACACCTGATCCCACCCAATGACCACTTCTTACAGAATTACCACTACACCTTCAAAATACATTTATTCAACAACAACATAGTAAAATTAATCAAGCTATTAGTTACAGCAAGTAGAAAAGAAATAAAACATAGAAATTAGTATGATTAATTTAAAAATTAAAATTTAATAGAATGATTTAATAGCTTAATTTTTATATATAACTGACATTTCTGATTCATTAAGTGCTGAAACAATTATAAAATCTGACTTTAATATTTAAAAGCTTGATTATAAGCTTCTGTTCATTCAGCTTTGTCTGTATGTTTTTATTAAATTCTCACAGAAATAAATATTTTTTAAACTTTATAAAAATTTGTTGAAATTAAATATAGTTTTTGATTTTGTAAACTGTAGTATAAAATAAGAATTAAAAATTGTGAGATTTAAAGTTGCAGATAATGTGGCAATTAGACTGACTGCAGAAACAGAGATTTCCCAACTGAAATTCTGTCTCTAATACACTTAATGGGAAATTGAGATGGAACTGAAACTTGAGTTTCAAGTACTGAGATGGAAATGGAACTTAATTTAAAGAGATTGAAATTATGTAATTAGAGATAGAGATTCCCAATTTTCCTAAACCTAAAATAAAACTTTATTTTATACTATTTTTAGTATTCAAATCATATACAAATGTATATATGCATTTTGACTTGATGTGCCAATTTTTCTATTTTGTCATATTTTGGTGTAAAAATACACTTTCAAAATAAGGTTTAAAAAAAAATTAAAGTTGTTTTAGAGATAGAGAAATCTAGAAATGGAACATAACATTGAAAATTTGAAACTGAGAAGAGAATGGAACTTTTATTCATATTTTGAGATGAGATTGAAACTAATTTTTAAATTTTGAGAAGAGATTGGAATCAACTCAATTGAAATTGACATTCAGTCTTGTTTCTTTGAAATTTCAAAGAAACTCCAACAATCAGTCTATTGACTCTATTTAAAAATCACAATATCATAATTTAAGCTTCAGAAACAACAGACATAATAATTAATAAAGCAATCAATCATCTAAAAAATCTCTTCAAGAAGAACTTTCAAAGAAAATTGTCAATTGAATACATTAACTGTTCAGAAAAATAAGAAATTCAAACAAAAAAATACAACATGAAAATTTCAAAAACATCTTTAATCTTTCTGAATCTGAAGATAATATTCTTGCATTTCTTAATAATGAATTATTAACTAGTTCACAAGCTGTTTAAATTAATGACAATTTCATCACATTCACATCAAAACAAAAACTTAATAAACATGAAGCTTCAAGCAATAAAGCCACTTCATGTAAGAAAATGACACCAGTCAAACAAAAAGCAATTTAAAAGAGTAAACAACTATTTAAGTCTGTCAAAAAAATCAATTTACTGAATGATATCTCAGAACTCAATGCTAATAAATTCTTCACTGACAATAAATGACTTTTTGAACATTCTCTGACTATCATACTTATGTAATCTATCATGTCTACTCTAGCTTGAAAGAAGCTTCTATACTCAATGACACATATTAAATTAATCAATAAAGCAGTTGTTGAGAAGATGTTCTTCTTTTTCAACTTTCTCTACTATGATTATTAATTCTAATTTTGATATGTTCAGTGAATCAGTACACATGCTGTGAGAACACTGATTTTAAAAAATATTCTCTGACAACTGACATGAAATGATTACTGTACATAATATTAAAGTAGTTAAAGACTAGTTAGTCAGTATTTCAAGCTTACTCACAAAACTGAAAGAAGAATGAACAAATCATCTTCTAATACACAATTAAATTGCTCATGAACTTTCTGTAGCTCTATAGATCGGATAACACTTAATACTGATATTTTATATAGAGAAATATCTCTGTTATGTTCTCTCTCTTTGTTCTTGAAAATGTTGAAATGTGAGCAACAGTGACTTAATAAATCTGAGAATAAAATCTCAATCAGTTATTGTTTAAAATCTTTTTCAAAAGTTATAAAAGATGTAGAATGGCAGTCTATAAGATGGATACTAGAGAACAATGTATCAAAAGTTAAAATCACAGTGTAAGAAAACAAACTAAATTGCACTTATAGTATTAAAGTAATATTACTATATGTGCAGTAAAAAAGAAACTCATCACTGATCTTCTATAAAAGAGAATCAGTATGATTTTAAATACTAGTGAAATTAAAGTTATGCTAACTATTAACATACTAACTTTTAAAATAGATTTAGTCTATAGTAATTTAGAAAGTATAATAATTGTCTTTCTTTCTTGTAGACATCATTCTTAAGACTTTAATTATAGCATAGTGATTTAATCAGACATTTAGTTATGCTGTCAGTATTTTAATTTTGAAATATTAAAGCATAAAGTTAATAAATTAACACTAGTATTGAGAATTGATGCTGATGAAGCTCACAGTATTGTGATGTTAAAGTGTGATGCTGATGTTTTGTTGCATCAGTGCTGAGTTGATATTAACATTTTGAGAATCAGAGCTGCAAATAACATGACAATGATTTATTAGTTTTCATAAGTGAGATTAATTCAGTAAGAAGTAGTTATGAAAAAATTCAAATATTAAAGAGAAAAAAATAACTTATATTACTACAATAGTATCTAGAGTTTCTAAACATATTGTCATTAATCTTGATAAAGAAGTTTTCATGACAGATTTCATGTATTTCACTGTACTAGTAAAATTATGTAATTGATCACAGAATTTACAAATTCTGAATGACCAAAAGTATGATCATCTAAACATGAAAGAGATTTTACAAATCTCTTTTAAATAATTAAATGAATGTAAGATTACTAAACTGACTGCAAAGATCTCTATTGAAATCTTTTAGAGACTAAGATTAAAAAACAGTAAAACTCAGTTTATTTCATTTCTTTCTTAAAATTTGATGAGAAGTGACAAGTCTCAATTTCATTTCAAAATACTAATAAAAGTTTCATTTTCATCTGAGTTTTAACTTTTAAGTTTCAAATCTCTTTCAGAAAATCTCCAGACTCTGAAATAACTTTAATTTTTGTCAAACTTCATTTTGAAAGTGTATTTTAATTTTTTACATTAAATTATAACAAAATAGAAAAATTGTCACAGAAGTCAAGATACATGTATACATTTTTATATAATTTTGATACTAAAAATAATATAAAATAAGATTTTATTTTATGTTTCTAGAAATCTGAAATCTCTGTCTCTAATTGAATAGTCTCAATTTCTTTTGTATTAAGTTTCATTTTCATTTCAGTACTTTAAACTTAAGTTTCAGAAGTCAGTACTTCTCAGTTTGAATTAGACTGATCACAGAAACAGAGATTTCCCAACTGAAATTCTGTCTCTAATGCACTAATAGAGAATTGTGATGGAACTGAAACTTAATGATAGACTGACTGTCTGAATCTCTTTGAAATCTCAATGGAACAAAACTGAAAGTCAAGCTCAATTGAGTTGATTACAATTCTTGTTTAAAATTTGAAAGTTAGTCTCAATTTTAGCTCAAAATATGAATAACAGTCTCATTTTCTTCTCAGTTTCAAATTTTATATTTTAAGTTCTATCTCTTGATTTCTCTATCTCTAAAAAAACTTTAATTTTTTTTCAAATTTTATTTTGAAAGTGTATTTTTACATCAAATATGACAAAATTGAACAATTGACACATTGAGTCAAAATGCATATATACATTTATATATGATTTTGATACTAAAAATGGTTTAAAATAAGATTTTATTTTAAGTTTAGGGAAATTGATAATTTCTATCTCTAATTAAATAATCTTAATCTCTTTAAATTAAGTTCCAGTCCCATCTCAGACTTCTCAGTTTGAACCATCAAGTTCTAGTTCCATTTCAATTTTCCATTAGTGCATTAGAGACAGAATCTCAGTTGAGAAATCTCTATTTTTGTGACCAGTCTAGATTAGTCTACTTAATGATTCAAACTGAGATGGGACTGAAACTTGAGTTTCAAGTACTGAAATGGAAATGGAACTTAATTTAAAAAGATTAAAATTATTTAATTGAAAATAAAAATTCTCAATTTTCCTAAACTTGAAATAAAATTTTATTTTATACTATTTTTACTATCAAAATCATATATGTATGTATTATATAGGCTGACCATTGAGGTCTCTTTGAAATCCCAATGAAACAAGACTGAATGTCAATTTCAATTGAGTTGATCTCAATTTCTTTTCAAAATTTGAAAATTAGTTTCAATTCCATCTCAAAATATGAATAAAAGTTTCATTCTCTTCTCAGTTTCAAATTTTATATTTTAAGTTCCATTTCTAGATTTCTTTATCTCTAAAACAACTTTAATTTTTTTTCAAACTTTATTTTGAAAGTGTATTTTTACACCAAAATATGACAAAATAGAAAAATTGGCACATCAAGTCAGAATGCATATATACATTTGTATATGATTTTGATGCTAAAAATAGTATAAAATTTTATTTTATTTTAGATTTAGAGAAATTGAAGATTTCTATCTCTAATTCAATAATTCCAATCTCTTTAAATTAAGTTTCATTCTCATTTCAGTACTTAAAACTTAAGTTTCAGTTCCATCTCAATTTTTCATTAGTGCATTAGAGATGGGATTTTGGTTGGAAAATCTCTGTCTCTGCAGTCAGTCTAATAAAAGATATGTTTCTGAAGTTTTCTTCATCAGCTTTATTAAAGTCAGAATTCTCATTTACTGTTTTTTTTTTTTTCTATTTAAAGTGAAGAAACTTCATTGTCATTGATACTGATTTTTTAATTAGAGAGTTATATGTCTGAAGATTTTAAAATTTCTTTAAAAACATTATATTTTAATAAATCTCATTCTGATTATCATGAGATAAGTGATGTTTTTATAAAGCTTGAGAAATTCTTTATAAAGTGTTTTCATACTTTATAAGTCAATTTCCATGTGCATGACTCTGACAGAATCAAGACCACTTATTTTGTGACAGTCTGAAAGATGCAGTCTGAAATTTTCATTTTGCTCAATCATTCAACCATCACAGCTCTTAAAATCTTCATAGTGGAGCTGAAAGTAGCTGATAGCCTGATAGTTATATAAAGTTATACCCAATTTAAAATTTTTATTTATTTAAAAAATCATGAAGTAATCATCCTCTATTTTATATTGTTCAATTGGGTAACCAAATGGAAAAATCTGATGATGCAGAGCAGATTGAATCAGATGTAGTAGATATTGTAGATCTGAAGTAATAAAGAAAGTCCATAGTAACTCATATTTTATCAAGTTTTTGAAATCAGATATTTAATGTTGAGATTATCAGCTTAAATCACAAATTTCAAATTTGTATGGAAATTTCAGAGTTTCTTCTATTTTTGTGAAAACCAGCTCAGACACTGTGCTGGTCAGGCTCTGGCAGAATTACCAGAATGGGTTAGTTCAAAACACTAAATTCATGCTAAAGAACCTTAGCAGCATGCGTCTGAGGGGATGAGGTAAACTCTGTACATCTCAATAGAATCAATCGGATCTTTTTAGTCTACTTCTGTGTGTGCAAAAGAAAAAAATTGTGGCAATACAATGTAAAACATCCAATATGAATTATGGCCGCTTGTGTCTTAGAGTAGGCTGCCCGGCTGCCGTAGTAGTTAACCTTCTACTTCGCATACCCTGTAGGTTAAGCTGTAGGTCCAAGATTCCTAAAAGACCTTTGTCTCTACAGATCGTGTCAAAAATTGCGGATTCTCTCCAGTAGTTGTATATGTACTCCGTATGCATGGATATACATGGAGTCCAATAGTGCTCAATTCTTCTTCAGAATTGCGGAGCATCGAGGACCCTCAAGCAGCCAGTAAGTAGGCTATTGCCCGAAACCTTTTTCTGGATAGTTTGCCGAGAGAGAGTGTGTACACAAAATTCATTATAATACTTGATCTCTTTCTGGCGTATACCCAGTACCCCGTCGAGCCAGGAGAAAAGTCTGTGTGGCGTGACCGCTAGCAATTTACTGTATATACGTCCATTCTAGTTAGTTAATAAAAGGCTTATGATGAGCCGTGCTGGTTTTGCCGATAGAGGTTTTGTTGTCCAGCAAACCAAACATATGGATCCATGTTTTTCGATAATGGAGAATAATGTATTCCTTGTAGTCGTTGGCTGCATTTTGAATTTCCTCTGTGGTATGAAAGAGATTTGAACCATACTTCTCTAGCATATCATTCAAGTGAATGTCGAACCGTCGCAGCATTGTTTCATAATAGGCATGAAGATTGTCGCCAGCTCTCCATCCCTCCGGAGGGGGCATGGTAGGTGCTTCCAATGTGGCTTCTACAGCGAGCAGGGCAGCGTGGGTATATTTAGTCATGAGGGTTGTTCTGACCGATGCAGTAGAACCCATAGGGTGTAGACCCCACTCAGAACGGATGTTATCAGTAATGCTTCGACCGTGGCGAAGCCATTCGTTTCGAAAAACACAGTGGTCGTAGACACCCTGGCGGCCCAGAATTGACTGGAGCGTCACGCCAAACCTGGAAAGGAGGCCCTTATACCAGGAATGCATCTTGTCGTTCGGTGCCCATACTGCAGGCGGTGGACTCTCGGGTAGCGTAACCGCTTCTTGATAAGCGCGGGCGGCAATCAAGAGAAATATTTCACTTTGTAGGTCAAATGACAAGGCACGTCTTTCAATGTAGGGGTTTTCCTATTGAAAAGTATTACTAATGTTCAAAATTGCCTTTGATAACAACGAGTTACTCACAGTCAGCGAACTGTTATAGAAAACATCTGGGCTAAACTGGGCTTTGCTCGAGTAAGTCAGTGACAAAGGAGTCGGGGGTCTGCAATTATCGCTGCCTCCAGTATCAGAGGCATGCGGCGTTTTTGGGGTGGCCAGAGGATCGGGTGAAGCCATATTACATACAACATGGGACAGCTATTGGCTTTGTTTTTATGAAAATCATTAGAGGCCTCTGGAATATGGCACTTGAAAATGATCAGTGAAATTGCTGCAGCAACCACGACAACACAAGTGGAGGAATTTGATACTGTATTTATCCAGCCACAAACAAAGTATATCTAAGGAAATATGGACATATGAAATTCTGTTAGTCTTGTGAAGTATGCAAAACAAGATTAACTGTTTAGCAAATTCAAAAGACCGAGCACAGAGATTGCAGGTACCAAGAGACTCAAGATAAAAAAACAGATGAGGCAATATCCCATGGGAAGTTCCAGAAACATGAAGATAAAAAAAAATGCTTGATTGAACTTTTAGTGGAAGGGTGGCAGTGCAAAGGGCAACTAGTAGCTGGTATCAAGTGACAAGTGTTGCAGAGTTAAGATGTCATGAAGATCTGTTGCAGGCATTTAGTAAACAGACATGCAAATAGTGCTTCCAAGATTATACCTCATTCAAAGATTTGGCATTCATCAGTGCCATTTTCTTCTGTTGGATATAACGGCCTCGAATTACCTGCCGTCCCAGTGGGCGGTGTTCTCTAACCTTGATAAGACTGTCACGGTTTATGTGTAAATTGGCCAAGCCTTCCGGATTAGGGATTGATGCACTCTTATTTAAACCTATTGGTACCGTGTTTTCCGAGATAGGTTTCGCCTCCCTTCCCCTTTGAGATTTTGTTTCCTTCTTTCCCTTCTTCCTCGTCTTGGTTGACTGAGCCTCACTTGATTCCGGGTTAACGACGTGAGACACGGAGCGCTGTTTATCTTCCAAATCAGCTGTTTCCAGAATCGGTATTGTATCTGCAGAAATCCTATCCAAGTCTATTTTTCTTTTCCTCTTCCCCTTCTTGCGGTCCTTCTGTGATAACTTAGGTGGCGAAACTAAACGTTCAAAGTCCCGAGTTTCCTTTTCTTCCTGCGATGCTAAAGCCTTGAGCGGTTCGTCCTGCACCAGGAGCCCACCAGGTACAAAAGTCATGCTCTTCCACCTTCTCTCGACATAGCTGAGTAGCTTGATATCCTCCCTACACTTCTGTACTCGCACCAGATCTGCCTCGCTTTTGCCATTAAGCCGACCCAGGAGATCTTGAAATGCATCTAACCCAGTTGATTGAGTCTCTGTAATTGGGTTTCGGGGGCAAGCGCCTAACCCCAGGGTATCGTCCTTGAGGACAATTCGGATGTGCGAGGCGCTTGCGCCCGTATAGCTACAGGAATGGGGGGCATTTTTCACACCCAAAAAGCTGCCCGGCGTCCATCCCTGAGCACTCATAATTCGGTGGCCATAGCTGGTAGTAGAACGGGACCACGCGGTGTTGTTTGGATCATGGGATATTTTGGTTCGCCTGACATTGTTAGATGAATGTGGAGGACGGTGACAAAGATACTCGAGACGCTTACTTTCTAGGACCTGCGAGACCCATTAGAAACAAGATATTATCCCTACTTTGTAAATAATCACGGATTTTTCGAGGCCTGAAATCTCAATCAGAATTACGGAGTATTGATTACTCCGTAGATTCTCATAACTTTTTCTTCCAACCCTACTCCGTAGGTGCGGAGTTTACCTCATCACCTCAGACGAATGAAGAGCACGTGAGGATCATGTGATTTCGTACCAGAACCATACCGGAATTCCAGATCTGTGGAATACTGTAATGTTATGGTAGTGGCAACATAACCACTATGTAGTAACTCAGCACAACATTGAAACAACAATTGCATAATATTATCTTTGTTGATTACCACTATCATAACAACAGTATTTCACAGATCTGAAATCTCAGTATGAAATCATTTGGAAATTCTGCATTGAGTTACTGATTTTTCAAGTTGTTTTGTAACTAGTTACTGGGAGAATATAACATTCTCAAATATAATCAAATTTATATACTATATATTGTCTTATATAACATGTGTATAACATGTATAACTTCTATAACATTTACAGAGTCATATACATAAATCTTGATTAAGTATAAAGTTTGATCAATAACTCTTTTAGAATTAGTTCAAATCTTATTCTATAAAAGTTTATTTCAAACTTTATTTTCTAATAGAGTTACAGCAATAAGATTACCACCACAGTATTGCTTGTATAAATTATCAATCAAGAAAAGAATAATAAATTGAGATGGCAAATTACATCATAATATGATATTACATCATATAGAATGTCAATTACTTAATATTTATTCTATCTACAGACTGCTTTTCAAATTTTCATTTCTTCTTTGACTTAATGCACTCATCTACATAGTGATCACTGATCAGTCTCACTACAGTTGTAGTAAGTATTCTTATCTAATTTTTCACTTCATTTTAAGTTCATAAACTGTGAATTGAAGATTCTCTAATGTTAATTTTCTCTCTGTTATGATGGAATTCAGATCTTGTTTCTATAATTCTAACCACATGATTCATAAGTTTAGATTGAATAGAAGAATGTTTCATTACAGTTGATATTTATCTCTGAAATAAATTGTGACTTTAGATTGAGAGTGAAACTCTTGACACTAGATTTTAATCACATTGCAACTGTTTGAATTTCATTCAGTTTCTTTGAAAGATTCTTCTGTTCATTCAACTTATTGTGCATAAATTTGTCATATTATCATAGAAAAAGATGTTTAATGAACTTATTCACACTCTGTATTTCTTCACTTATTTATTGTAAATGTTTTTGAAATTCTTTAAATCAGTCAAAGTCTGATTCATCATCTCTTTTACAAAGATGAAATAAATTTCTTCAGATCAATTAAATTTAATTTTCAGAATCATCTAGTTGTACAAGTAGAAATTGTTTAAATTCAGTTCAGATGTTCAGAGTAGAGTTCTGAACTAAATGTAATTTTCAAAAATTCTTCTCATTATATTTTAACTCTGTGACTGCATACTTCAGAGTTTTATCATCATTTAAATCACTAGCATCTTAAATGATTTCTATCTGAATCATAAATGATAAACTGTCAGTAGACTGCATAGTTTTTGATTTAATAGTTGATCTTATATTGTAAAGACTTGATGACTAAACTCTTCTTTGATAAATTTAAGTTAGAGATCAGAACATTAAATGATTTTATTCATTTATATCTTCTATTTAAAGTTCATAAACTCTGCTGTAGTTCTTAATTTTTTTTCAAAAAATTCTATATTTTCTGAAGATAATTTCTCAGTCTGAATTGTGCTTGCATTTAGATTTATTGTCACACTTAATGTCTTGACTAATTCTGATACTGAGAAAAGAGTTGAGAATTTAGTTTGATTTTAAATATTATGTTTTGTGAAAATCATTGTTGGGCCATCTGCTTATTTAAATGACAAACTGTGAGAATTGAATGATTACAGATAATGTGACAATTGATTTATGATTTTTATAAATGAGATTAGATTGAGTGAGAGATGATTATGAAGAAATATAATGTGAGAATATCACATTCTCAAATATAATCAAATTTATATACTATATATTGTCTTATATAACATGTGTATAACATGTATAACTTCTATAACATTTACAGAGTCATATTGTTACCTGGTCTATAAGAGCTACAGAATGTCCATGTGATTTTAGTTGAGTAGTAGAAGATGTCTTGTTCTTGTTCTCTCAAGCTTCAATGATAAGCTTGAGAATGACTAATTACTAACTAATCTACTTCAGTAAGTATGTACAGAAGATTTCATGTCAGTTGTCAGAGAATATCTTTTAATGATCAGTGTTCTCACTGAAAGTCAGTGCTCTGTTGCTAGTTAAAATTGGTAATTATAGTAGAAAAAGTCAAAAAAGAATGACATCTTCTCAATGACAGCTTTGTTGATCAATTTAGTATGTGTCATTGGATATAGAAACTTTTTTCAAGCCAGAGTGGACATGATTGATTGCATTAGTGCATATATTTTAATTTGACATTGGGGGTACCATTCTCCATCTAATGCAAAGTTTTCTCATAATTGTAGAGTGTCTTTTGGATCTTGTCCTAGCACATCAGTGTCATCAATCTGTGTTAGATGTGAATAATCTTCAGCTGTTGCTTCTAGTGCTCATAGATGAGCTGAATGAACTTCCTGTTGGTGGTTAGAAAGTCATAGAACTTTGCATCTGATGAAATCATTTAAAATGAATCAACATTTCATGTATGAGTCTCTTTTTTCATCTGTGCTTAGTTTGAGCCATTCTTGAATTTCTTTCATTGTTATAACATCATCTTCATCCAAAGCCATCCAGATTTCTGTTTTTATTGCTGTAAATGGTTGTATTTGGATGAATTCTTCAGAGAATTGACAGAGAAAGTGAATGAGTTCATATTTTGTAGATCTCAATAATAGCTGTTGATGGTCTTTTTGAACTTTGTCTAACAGTTCTTTAAAGTAGATATCAACAACTGATGTAATGAGAGCTTGGGGTACTAGATGTTGTTTCTCTGACTTTGGCATGTTGAATTTTCACTGTTCAGAGAAGAATTGAAAGAATTCAAGATGTTGGTCTGTGGTCATGGCATATCAAGTATTTTTGTACTTAGTGAGCATTGCTGTTTGTCCACTTGATATTGCTGATTGTTTGATTATTGTGTCTAGTTTGTCTGTGATAAGAATGTCATCAGCATTTAGTGCTGAAAAGTTTGTGAAAAGATAAAAGATGGAAAACTGTCTGTTTTGCAGATAAAGTACTTGTTCCTCTCAAGGGCATTGTGATACCAGCTCTTGCTTTCAGAAGAAGAGATTGTTAAAATCAGAGAGATCACTATTGATGTTTTTTGGTGAGTTCAGTAGTGATTGAGGCATTGATTCATTGTGTATTGATATTTCTATTGCTAATGTTGTTTCTGCATTTGAGATTGACACTTCCATTTCATCTGATTCTGATGATAGATGGCTTCTAGATGTTCCTCAATCAAGTGAACTGTTAGCATGATAGTCAGAGAATGTAGAAAATGATATGTTATCATTCATTGAGAATGCAATAGTATTGCATTTCAAGATATCATTCTGTGAGTTGATCTTTTCAGCAGATTTGAGCAATCATTTACTTTTTTAAGTTAATTTTTGCTTGACTGGAGTCTTTTTCTTGCATGGTGTGGCTTTATTGCTCAGAGCTTTACATTTGTTGCAGTTTTGCTTTGACATGGGCATGGTGGGATTGTCATTTATTTGGACAGTTTGTGGGCTAGTTGGCAATTCATTGTCAAGAAATGCAAGAATGTTATTCTCTGGTTCAGAAGAGTTGAAAATGTCTTTCAGAGCTTCCATGTTGTATTTCTTTGTTTGAATTTCTTGTCTCTCTGATTGATCAATATATTCAACTGGCAATTTCTTTTGAAAGTTCTTCTCAGAGAGATTCTCTAGGTGGTTGATTGCTTCATTGATTATTATGTCTGTTGTTTCTGATGCCCAAATTATGGTATTATGATTTTTAAATCATTCATGTTGAAGAAATTTCTGCTTTCATATGATCTGACTTTCTCTCCACTGGATCATCTCTTCTTCATGTTTTCTGTTGATTTCTGCTCTGATCAGTTCAGCTCAAGTTTGCAGGGCTAAAGCAGCTGCTGTTTGTTGTTGCAAGATTATGAAAGATTCATCATATTGAACATGGTCATCATCAATATTGCATTTCACTGAATTGCACTGCTCAAAAAAAGATGCTCTAGCAGATAGACAAATATAAATCCATTCATTGCAATTTTGTGTGATGATTTTGTTTTTTATATGCTTGTTTGTCATAATTTTGTTCTTTCATGTGTCTGTTGTCATTTCTATCTTAATTTGAGTAAGATGCTGTGGTTCTGATGCAGCTGGCAGAGAATTGTGTGATGAAGAGCTCTGAAAATTCCATTCATTAGCAGAATGAAGTCTGACTCAAGCATTTTCAGATACAAATCATAAGATATAGTCTGCTTGAAAATCTGTCTTGTCTTCTGGAACTTCACATTGATCTTGAAGTTTACATTGTTCTTTGGCACAAGAGAGGATCTTTTGTGCAGATAGAATTGTGAACTTTGGTGCTCTAATAGAGATTTTTGGAAATGCATTAGTATTTGGTGGAGTGTTCATACTGGGCAGATGTTTGGGAATTAGAGAATGATCAGTTGCTTGGATACAAAGAGAATTTGAGTAGAAGAGAATGGATAAGCTTGGGTAGTAAGAAATGAGTGGTTGCTTGAATACAAAGTGAATGAGCAGTTGCTTGAATACCAAGAGAATTCAGTTAATGTGATCTGTGATAGAACTGTGTCTGTGAAGCTTGCTGAGTGAAGAATGTCAGAGAAAATATGTTATGTTAGATGAGATTGTAGAATGAAGAATGTTTAGAAGAAGTGAAATATTATATGTTCACTTAGCATTCATGGATTGTTTGTGTTGTTGTTGTTGTATATAACTTATATAAGCTTGCCTGCATATTTGTATTCATGCAATAGTTCTTTGG